AGTTGCTGCACAAACAAACTCTTAAAAGTCCACATGATGTATGATGTCACTGTCCCTCCTGTAGTCACTGGGTATGCTGGGCCATCATGTCTTTGGCTTTGGACTGAGCTACAGACTGCCAGAGGGTATTGAATGGTGTCTGGATATAATCTGAGACCAACTGTGACATAAGGACTTAAAATTAGTAATGCTGTAAGAAGTGCAGCCAAAAACATTTTCACAGAGTTATGTCTAATTGAGTGAGACTGGGCGAGCGTGGCCTAAATTTCATCAGACATTTCACAATATACAGACCACTCTAAGTACTGGCATAAATTGGTAAATTCTCCATTCATCCAAAAATCAATGATACATGTATGTATATGTTTTTATTCCAGATTTGTTTCTCATAATTTTAATACTTTCATTTTATGTCATACCAATTCTTTTGAAACAATGACCCGTATCATATGTTACATGAAAATAGTGATATACTGTATATATATATATATTGTTTATGTATAGTAATGTGTCTTATGGCTCAACCTACATAATATTTTTTTTCATTTAAGTGTGCCACAATGCTATGACAGAGATTCTGGAGATAAAAAACAACCTTCAGATAAAACAGATTGATGCCATTCATTTTTTTACCTGTCCAGGACTCTAGCCCGGACAGGTAAAAAGAACCCGACATTGTTGGCAGTTCAGTAAATATCATCTTTGTGAAGTTTATAATGCCCAAGTTCAGTTAACACTGTGTCAAAAAGGTGTTGATTCAACTCTAAAGCCTGACATATACTTGCTGTTTAATCACAGGTTTCCATGGTTTTCATTTCTGAGGATGTGCACAACAGTCTGTCCAGACGGACTCATGAGGCAGCCATCATGCAAACGCGTATTTAAAAGTAAGTCAGTCTAAGGTACTTTGCAGGCCATAGTTTGTGACCTCTCTGCTGGACCATTGTATCAGATGGTATTACAGTGGACAAATCACTGATGTGGATTTTGTTATGTTCGCACAATTTTAAATACAGTTCAGTTTTGTTTTATTTGTGTAGCACCAAATGTTATTTTCAGTGAGGCAGTCAGAGTTAGGGGCGTCCTGAGGTCAGAGCAGGCAGGCAGTCAGTTACAGGAAGTTAAGCTGCAAGTGACTGTACAGCTAGTTGGTGAGTCACAATAAACAGATTTAAACTGTTTAAAATCTTGGATTTTGTATCTTTTGGGAAACTGTGACATTATTACACTTTTCATTTAGAGCCAGAACATACTCCTTGTACATTTATTTACAGAGACCAAACAATTCCCACCATGAGCAAGCACTTGGCGACAGCAGCAAGGAAAAACTTCCTTTTTTCGAGACAGAAACGTCAAGCAGAACTGGGCTCTAGGTGGTCTGCCTCGACCAGTTGTTTGATTTAGAGAGAGAGGGGGATTAAAAGAGAGACATAGAGATGCACAGCAACAACAATTGTAACAATAACAACTATGATAATAATAGACAGATGACTAATAATAATAATAGCATGCCTGTCAGCTCTAACCAGTCCTGTTGTTCCCTTTCTGATCAGCAGTAGGCCTCAGTTGTTTCCCACCATTCCCCAGTCATCACCTGCCAGCCCACCTGTTCCTTATTCCCTGTAATCAGGCACCTAGTATATACATACCTGCCCATAAACACTAGCTCTATGCCTGATTGCTCAATCTATGCCATTGTGCTTCAGCCAGCCTTCCATGTCCTTCCTGCTTGTTTGTTAAGTTTTGATCTCTGCCTGTTTTATCCGCCTGCCTGCTCCCATTTGGTCTCGTTTACCTTTGCTGACTGCCGGCTTCTGTCCTGAAAATAGACCAAATAAACCCCACTTTAATTTCCCCCTACTCTACCTTTGTGCTCTGCTTCGCGACACAACACTTACCAGAGCTGTGACAGTAAGTGGATCCATTAATGATCATGCTGTCTCATATGAACCCAGTAACAAGGTTTCTATTAACATAATACAGTTCAGTGCAGAAGTCACTCTTAGTCTGGTCCCAAACATGGAACTTAAATAAACCTTTTTTTCGGCAATCACAGAAAAAACTCTTTGAGCCAGATTGCTGAATCAGAAGCAGAGGTTTGCCAAACTGGAATCTAATCCCAACTTGGTCAATTACGCTCAAAGTTGGACGCACTTTATCGCAAATTAGGTTGTTAAATGTTGGTATTGTATTGTTAAATACAAATTTCATCCAATATACAGACTCAGAGGAAAAAAACAGATGCCTCAGCAGCTCACACAGCAGAGAAGGAGTGAGAGAAATAAAATGTCTGGATTGTGTGCGTTTTGCGTTCCGGCTTTAGTGGAAAAAGAGGGAGGTCGCTAACAACTCTTTGTTTTTTTTTTGTTTTTTTTGTTAATGAGACTGTCCTATGTGAGTAGGTGGAGTTCTCATCTTCCAAATTACTTAATTTAAATGTAAGAGTGCCACAAACCTTAACAAAACATAGTGACACACCCTAAACCGAACATGACTTCATTTTCTGTCTTTTTTTCATTTGACGCCACATTGAAATTCCCTCTGCAGCATAATGTCACAGGACAGCCACTGTTCTGCTGCTCCAGGCTGCCACTCTGCTCTCTGACAGCATATTCCCTTTTTAGTGGAGTTAGCGCTGCAGGTTTATAATAAAACTGCACTTGCACACATGCCAGTGCATCTTATTCCTGCCGGAGTAGAGGATAACTTTCGTAATTGTGAAATCTTTCAGAAGCTAGAGAGCAGCAATGACACTGAGACAAGGACATGGTGACAGACGTCAAATTATGTCCTTTCAATTTCTCAGTGTTATTACTGAGGTGAGATACAGATGTGATGAGCAGTGAAGCATTTCTCCACATCATAAATCAGACTGATGCACATTGCAGACCTTGGTTTATGTAAGGCTTATGTAACATAGTCATCCAATTTCTGATTTTGTATTATAATAAGGTATTCTATTTTCTGAATAAATTGGATATATAAACCTACTTTTAACAATGAGTTCACCACTTAAAACTTGTTCTGCTCAAGATTAATTTATGCAGGTCACAACCCTGAATAATCACTCATGCAGTGGAAAAATGAGTGCAAGATTCAGAGGTGGGTGATGGCGTGTAACGTTGCTGCTGTTTCCACTGGAAAGATATGCACACATTGAGTGGAATTGTGGGTTTAGCTAATTACATCACTCTTAACATGTTAGTTCTTGAGATATAAGATCACATTTAAAAACACCCTTACCCTTGGGGGATTGGCCTTAAGCCTCCTGGAAAAAAGTGCATCATTACATTTGAATGGCATTTCTTGGATCACCATATTAAAATGTGCCTTCCTCTTTAAACACTGCTCCCATACTGTTCCAGGAATATATTTCACAACATGTCTTTTATTTCCAGAGTAAGTACAGTTATTATCAGCGTATGTATAGTAAAAGATCTTGGCAAATTATAGGTCTAAGCTGTAACAAAGGTTTTCCGCTCTCATTACTCAACAGGTGATCATTACATGTATTTTTATTGCCTTTGAACTGAACTGGACTTGTCAGTTGATGCCAGCAGGCCACTGAAAAACAGGTGGTCAGTGTGGAAGCTTCCACAGTGACAAAGTTTTCATGGCCCCCGAATTCAACTTTGCAGTCTACGGGCGGCTAACTGCACTCGCCAGACATATGCTTCATTCCTGGTATTAGATAATGACTTGCACACATTGTCGTATTGTTCATAAAACGCTGAACAGTTGCAGATAAAAAAAAGCTATTTTAAATTCCATTCAAATTGTATTTTTAGATATGTTTCAACAGGGATACTGTGGAGGGTAAAGTGGACAAAAGTCGGGTTTATCTCCACTTTAAAGAGTAGATATTTCTAACAGTGAATGACTGATATACTTTTGTACGAGCCTATATTATAGGCAGCGGTGGAAGAAGCATTCAAATTCTTTACTTAAGTAAAAAATGGCAATACTGCTTTCCCGACCTGAATTGAAAATATTATTTAAACACAGGTATGATCAGCAAAATGTACCCTATAAGTATAAAAAGCAACAGCACTCAACAGCAGAATGATCCCTTTTATAGTTCTCACATTATACTATCAGATCATTATCATTGATGTCTGAATCTGCAGCATTTTAATGTCGTAGCAGGTTGAGGTGGAACCAATTTGAACTACTTGATATAGCCTGTTATAGCCTGAAGTTAAATCTATAACAGTGCATCATATTTTGCAAGCTCACCTCATGTAGTGTATGAAAAAACGTAATCTGTAAAGATACTAGTAATATCTGACCGATAAATGTACATAAAGAAACTTTAAAAATGTAAATACTGAAGCAAATAGTACTTTTTATAGTACAGTGCTTGAGTACTTGTGCATATTGTAATGTAATTCAGTAATGTAATTAGCCCCTAATGGTCATTTTGAGGATGCTTGTGTGCATCATTTATATACTGACTACATTATATTGATAAGTAAAAGTCATCATTATGCAGAATGGCCAATTTCACAATAATGTGTATTATATTATTGGGTTATAAATAGTAATGTATTATGTGTAAGCATGTTGCAGCTGGTAAAGATGGGGGATTTCAACTGATTACTGTATCTTCCAGTAATCTATTACATCATAATTTACTGATATTTTGTAGTAATAGGCTTATCTAAATCTCTAGTAAGAAGAAAGTAACTATAAAGTTAAGCTGTTAAATAAATTAACCAATTAAATTATACTTAAGTAGACTACAGTAGGCCTACTTGAGGTAAATGTTAATATCCCACCACTGGTTTCAAGCTTTTTATAGGACTACATGGCCACTTGTGTATTTCTCAGCAGTCTAATAACTTTTTTTTAACCATCCACGCCAGCTTGTCACGGTTATGTGAATTAACACAAACTCGGTCTTTCCTGGTTTGAGGCTCCAACAGCTTGGCCCCGCTGGCTGCCTCCCTCAGACTGAATGCAGCCTTTTAAGTGACGGAGGGGTTGTAATTTGAGAGTAGCACGGAGGTATTATTAGCCAAAAGCCGGAGCGCGGCACTTGAGACATCCAGATGTTGCGTTTGAGGCACCAAGTGAAGTCGGGTGTGCAGCTGCTTTTTCACGCTGAAAAACAAACTTTCATACATTGCTTTTCCCGTTCGCCAAACAGTGATGAAGGCTGGCAGGCTCGATTAAAGGAAGAGGAGTGAAGCTGTTTCAAAAAAAAAAAAAAAAAAAACATTTTCACACCACTTTTATCTGTTCTGGACAAAGAGGATATTGAAGAGGACGTGAAAGCAACAACAAAGCCTCAGCTAACTGCGCACTTCTGGACCTTTATTGATTGATTGAAATGTTTTTCTTTCTACGCCCAATTGGAATTAAATAGTCCACCAGGCTTTACTTGAAATAACGTTTTTAAAAACTAATATTTCCTATTTTGTGAGTGTGTGTGGACAACTTGGGTGCATCATGGCTTTCCTTCACTTGCTCCTGTGCGCCTGGATGTTGCCAGTGCCGGCGTGTGGAGCGTTTTTCGCCGGCCCGCTACATCCGGAGATGTCCAACGGCACTTTCCATCATTACTTCGTGCCGGACGGAGACTACGAGGACAACGACGACCCGGAGAAGTGCCAGATGCTCTTCAAGATGACCGACGAGCGAAAGTGCGGTCTCGACGAGGACCAGGACGCCGTCATACGGGACGACTTCACCATCATCAAGAGGCAGATCGAGGACTCGGCCAGGGTGCTGGAGGGGATCGGGAAGAGCATCTCGTACGACCTGGACGGGGAGGACAGCTACGGGAAGTATTTGCGCAGGGAGACGGCGCAGATAAGCGAGGCGTTCACGAACTCGGAGAAATCTCTGCTGGAGCTGGAGGTGAAGTTCAAGCAGAGCCAGGAGAGCGAGCTGAGAGAGGAGCACCGGCTCAACGACGACTTTCTGAACATGATAGTGCACACGAGGGACGTCCTGAAGGACACGTTGGACATTTCTCTGGGACTGAAGGACAAACACGAGCTCCTGTCTCTGATCATCCGCAGCCACGGCACGAGACTGAGCAGACTGAAGAACGAGTACATGAAGCTCTGAGAGAAAATAGTTCCTGCTCGTCTCATGACAGTACTGTTTTTATTTTTCTTATGGTGGAGTGTGACCATGAGGCAGAGGGAGGCAGGGGTGAGACATCATATCAGGGATAACCCCCCAGAAGTTTAACTTAAAGTATATAAAAGAAAACTTTTCCTGTTTAACTCTAGAGCAGTGGTTCCCTACTTGTGGGTCAGATGAAGATTAATATGATTTTTCTTATAAAATACTCGCCTTTTTGATGTATATGCAAATTAAATTCAACAATCTGAGCAGTCTGGAAGGGAATGTGCTCAAAACTTATGGACACATGAGACCAAAAAAGTTTGGGAGCCACCGCTCTGGGCTTGCAGATAGTTTTGTTTGAGTTTGCCCAGGTTTAGTTGTAAAGAGGGCAACTGCTCCGAAGCCCCAGACCCCCTGGGCCCCCAAAAGCCCCACATTCACTATGTATCAGTTGTTTTTTTTTAAAGAATTTGGTTATTTGCTAATTCTTTTGCAAGTTTACTCGACTAAAGTACAATACATGATGGGTCTGGCATTAATACCTGATCTCACGGCCCTGTTTGTAAAGGGGCCTTGTGTCAGAATCAGTTTTAAGACCTTCATTAATTTGGTCTATATTGTACCAAGTTCCCTTTGAACTCACTTAGTATCAAGATAACACATTGATCACATACAATTTCTAATGTTCCTTGACAACAAAGCTCTTCTAACATTTTCAATTAACAGTAAAAGCTTATTGAACTCACTTCCAACAAATAAAAATCGAATGATGTGAGACACAGAAACTGCGCCATTTACATCCACTGCATGGCAGAAATCTCCAAGAGGGATATATAAAAACCTAGTTATATTAATCCATTGCTACGTACTGCTATTAGTGAGTAAGAAAATGTCTTTTGAGCTTCTGTTGGACTTTATCTGACCAATAATCCTACTTTTTATAGAAAGACCATAAGGGGTGGCAATATAGATAATACCCCCTTTCACAGGATATGCAGTTTTTATGACAATATTCTGAAACTTTTTCTGGATAAAAGCCATCTGAGAAATTGTTAATGGATAAAATAACCAGAAAGGAAACTGCTTTTGGCTGATCCAGCAAACTAAATACCTAATAAATCAAAGTACTTCATCATATTGATGCAAAATATCATACAAATAAAAATCCAGTATTGCCATAATGTGTTTTTTGCTCAGTGATTTGCAAATCAGCCAGAGATGTTAAAGAGATAGCTACCACAGATATGGCAAACTCTCCATCTGCAGAAATTGTCATATTGCCCTCTCTTAGAGACCATTGTCATCAAATAAAAACACACACTAGTGGTTACATCACTATGTTTGAAAATGGCTAAATACATATCAGAGCAAATGTATGGCTATAATGTTAGATAAACACTATCCGTCCAATAATCAATTAACCAAAACTGCCTCTTTTTTTCTTGGTATATGGTCATTTTTGGTTAGTGCATTGAGGTGTGTGTGTGTGTGTG